TGTATATTTACATATAAGTGTATATATATATAGACAACTGTGTATATACATAGATGTAATACATACGGCCCTGCCCCGATGGCGTAGACCAACAGGACTGGTCGTGCGTGTATGTGGATCCCCTCGAGCACACTTCCTGCATATGCGACACGGACCGGCATCTGCATCTGCGCGATAGCAAGGAAAACGATAGCATCTGAAATGACAATTCATCAAAGCTCTCTCTGGTCAGCCGAGGTGCTCGGGCTGTGCAGAAGCTGAGCCACGTTCCAAAAATCAGGCTGCCTCCACGCGTCGCTGTCTCCGCAGACCGCTGCCTTTGCAACGTCTGCCCCCTCGGTCGAGATCGAGCTTACTCGGCGACCCTACCCTTGCGCACCTAGTAGGCGGTATTGACCTTCGCAAGACTCCCTGCAAACTGAGGCCGCAACACTCCGCTTCTGGGACTACATGTTCTGACGGCGCAGCTTTCTTTTTCCCTCTCTCCGCGGCCACTTCTCTTCCCGCTCTTCGGACTCCCTTGTGCGCAAGTCGCTTCGCTGTGGCCCAGCGCTTGCTCCGACCGATTCGCTCGCCGAGTCCGCGACAAGAAAGTGGTATCATAAGGTCCACTGGCCTGTCTCGAGACCTCGAACCACGGCCATGTCGCAATCGTTGCGCAACTGCTCCCCCTTCCTGCGCTGGCGGGTCGGGCACTAATCCTGGACCTCCATCAACTGCCGCACACCTGGAGCTGCACCGCACGGTGCCGGTTCTGGAACCAATGCCGAGGCTGCTGCTGCCGACTCGGCCTCTCCGTCCTTGATCTCGGCCGCCTGAAGATTGTCGAATTCTCCTATCCGCGGACCACTCGCCCGACCCGCCAGTCAAGGGTCGGTCAGGTCGATTGCTTGGAAACCCACTCACGTTAAACGTTACGCCCGCCCGTCTCGCCGCGTCTCGCCCGTGAAACGGTCCGCCCGCCCGACCCGCCCGCGCCCGCCCGACCCGCCCCTTAGGGTCCGTTCATCCGGCCCGCTTTTCTTACCCTGTCTGGTCGTACCGAGGAGGTGACATGAACCAAAGATCCCAGGGGGGTTAACTCCTAAACGAAGATGCCGGGAGTCAAGGGAATTGCGTATACATGCTGAGTGGCGTGTGGGCAACGAAGAGCGAACATTCTTTTGCCCCTCCTGCGCGGACGCACGCAGCCATCAAGACATTCCACGCCTGAGAAGCCGCGACTCCCGTAACGCAGCGCCGTCGGGCAAGCGTTGCTGCTACCGTTGTTGCCAGGAAGCTCGCTCCAGGCGAGCCTGCTCGTTTTCGGGTGTGCGACCAGTCACCCTGATCTCGACGCTGCTGCACGTCTTTGCCAAGGAGGCGGGCTGTGCAGGCCGAAGGCTGCGGCACGAGGAGTGGGAGTAGGAATGCGAGGGCCATGCCAGGTCAGAGCGCCTGCGAGCCAAAGTTCGCCGCCCAGCTGGAAAAGAGGCGTGGCTCCGTGATGCAGCCAGTACGCCCACGAGCTGCTGCCGCTGGAGGGGTGACCTTCGCTGGCCGGCAGCGGGACGAAGCCTCGGGAACCCCGTGATTGGGAGGAGGAGGAGGAGGAGGAGGAGGAGGAGGAGGAGAAGGAGGAGGAGGAGGAGGAGGAGGACAAGGGAGGGAGACGGAGGAGGGGGAGTCACATGCCCCTCACCCTCGGTCCAAGCTGATCCCCGCTCCGATACAGATCCTGATCCCTCTGGCCGAATCCGTCCCCGAGCGCGGAACACCCCATCGACCGAGAATAACGTCGACCGTCCTGTCCCATATCGATCGGTGATTCCGTGGTCTGATCGAGCCGCGGATGGACGCATCAAGGTCTACAAAGCGCCCGGCCAGCTGCAGCTGAGCGAGTTGAACAGCGGTCGCAATATGAACGCAGCAAGCAGGTGCTGTTGCAAGTAGTGCAACTTTGACTCCCTGCCGCCATCTCTGCAACATGCCGAGTATAATAGTACGTTGCGCAGGAAGCTAAGCCGAAATCTTGCCACCAGAGCAACTGTGCAATTTGGCCCCCCTTCCTATACTGGTGCCCCTCTCTTGTTTTCGTGCGCACTTTTTCGCAGCCTGTCTTGCAGCATGTCGCAGATCAGTGCTGTGATCACGGATGGCGTATTGCAATTGAAGCGAGACTACCGTGGGATGAAGATGGCACTGACACTCGACATGCTGTTCTTACTGCGTTTATGGATGACCTGGCCAAGACAATATTGGATATCGGGACGGGGAGAGCTATGGATCAACTAGCAACGGGATACGCGACAACGAATCGAGATATCGGAAGGGATGGATAAGGCGGGAGCATCGCAGAACATCAGCAACCAATATAGCATCGTGTTCCTAACAAGCCGAGGCGCCTATATTCTGTCGAGGCACGTGTATCGCGATGAGTATGCCAATATTGCAGGCGCTTTTACCTGTCATGCGTATTATACAGGAAAGCATATATCACCTCTACGATGTAACCGTCTTCCAATGTCGAGAACGTTCTCCGAAAACACTTATACACGATGGGGATGTTCTGGTACTCCAGCTCTCTGTGGAAATTCAAAGCAAATCTGGCCAAGGGGATCCTGATCAACAGCGCTCTCTCGGGCATGGACGTCGGGGCAATATCCAAAGGTCCTCTGATACCTCGAGATCTCTCAGGGCTCGAAGGGTTTATCGTGGGCAAGCGCAGGGATATACTGAAAGGCGGGTGTCCTGGGGACAGTGGGCACACTAAGACACTCTCTAACAACGATGTGCCGACGAAATTCGGAATGGGGGCCCTCGTTTTTGGAACTCGGGATGCGCAGGCTCGGGTGGCATCAAGAGCTCTCAAAGGCAACTCAGTTTCACAGACAATTCTGAGCAACTATCCTAGGCACAGTGGCAGTCGGTTGTTACGCTTTAGTCGATGGACAAGTTCGTTAAACTGGTATCCTTGGGCGCACCAATTAGAGCGAGACGCCGACTCGCTTGACAGTGTTGAGCCAGGCGAGGACCTCCTGCTAGAAGCTGCAAGTCGCCTGGGCCTGGTCCTTTTTGATTCAGGCCTGTGCGAATAATTGCGGCTCCTGGCAGTCAGCGAGCTGCGTGCTGCTCTTCTGCGACGGCCCGCCACCTGTGTGGCAAAACACTCGTCGACGGATTCCAGAACCGATCCTGTTGGTGCCCCCCCCTCCAGCTTCAACCTCCTGGCCACCCTCCAATTCGCTTGGGAGAGAAGAACGATCACTGCCTGGGACGAGGGCAAAGACATGGGGAAGGCCGTGGACAGCGTAGAGTGTCAACGGCGCCTCAGACTGCCGCCCGGTCGCCTACCCTCCGCCGCTGTCGCCCTCCCTCCCTCCCCCCTGCATCGCTCCCCCACGCTCAGGTCGGGCCTGTCTCCCTACATGGGGGATTTTGGGCGAAACATTAAAAATACCAAAAGCATGCCCCAAACATATCAAAGGCCAGACTATTTTTTGACTATTTTGAAACATTCCCCCTGTAGAGGGACAGGCCCGATTTCACCCCACGCTCCCTTTCGAACTTTTCAGCGCAACTGGATAACCACGAACAATGAAGCACAATGCGTGTCGGGGCAATGCTTCTTTTTGCAGAACGGGCTGTCGGGAACTCGATGCCGCTGAGCATCGCGTCGATCCTTCACGAATCAAGCCAGCTGACTACATGTATGGAAAATCACTCCGCAGGAAATTCAGAAGTCACTCGCAATAGATAACGAGCTCATGGGACCTCTCTTGCTGTGAACGATACGGCCTCAATCCTCTTTGACGCTGTGGCGCCCACTACCTGCAGACTGCTGCCTGCGCGAAGTTGCGTGCACGTGCGTGCTGTAATCGGCGATGTCCGTCGGAATGTCCGTCTCCTCCATCAAGACCATGTCATCTTCATGGTGGGATGACTCGGACAACCCAACTCGCATCCATCCGCATGCTACAAATAGACGTACGATGAGGCGGCGTTTCATAGAGTAAGGAAGGCCAGTGCAACTCTGGCACCATAAAAATCTGAATCGTTTACCTCCCTTGGGCCAAGATGGCTGCGACCGGTTCGGGGCCCATCTGTGGACCGCGGTGCTCAACTATCTTGCTAACCGCGACATGGCGAACCAAACATGAGAAGGAGAGAAGCAGAGAGGACGAGGAGGGGAACCAGGACTAGATGGGCGGAGGGAGGCAGGGGAAACAAAGACAGCGAACGACCGCTTACGGAAGACGTGAGACGATTGGGTAATCGACTTGGACATGGGGGTCCCGCTGCGGGCGTTTAAGATGTGCCGAGTGGGAAATATGAGATCAAAGGAGAAGAGGATTAGGATCACGTAGAGGATGAACTGGTGATAGGACAATTGTATAATACCCTGGCCTCCTGAGATAAGAGCCTACACCGAACCTTACATCATATTATGGTACTTCTGGTACGGACGAACTTTACGAGCACGCCTCTGGCATTGTCGAACGGCTCGCTGGCTCCTGTGCTGAGCATGAAGAGGTCGCGGGGTGGACCTGTCCCATTGCCCATGAAGGCTCAGACCACGTTGCCAGATACTATAGAACTTGTTTGCGTCTCAAGCTTAGGTATGCTGGTTTCCCAATGGCCGAGGCTCGCCTCGAAGTTCGGCCCAGTTCGTAGTGTCACTGAAGCGTACTGCGTGCGACATTGTGCGGGCTTTCTTTGCCTTCTGCGGACTGTTTCCGCCACGTTTGGAGCCAATTTCAACTTCGACCTCCAATCGTTCGATGCGATCCGCGTTGCGAATCGATGTTGGGAACACTTCGCATGTCTTATTCGATGGAGATCTTGCGGCATTGATGTTTTTTTCCGGCGGGATGCCGTCGGCGCTTCGCGTCTCCGCAGCCGTGCTGGCACGCTGTCGAGTGATAGGGTGCTGGAATGTTGTTGGTCGTCTGGTCGAGTTTGTACAGTCGGGGCGCTGACCTAAGGAACCCTAGATAAGGAACGAGGCCCCTTTTTCCTCAAAGTTGATCTTCGATTCCCCATGGAAAACCTTCGGGACACCTAAGGCAAACTGCAAAACAGTCAAGCAACGCCGAGCCCCTCCCCAACGAAAAGGGTTCCTTCTTCAGCGCCCCGACTGTAGTTTTCTAGGACCGACTGTCCCTACCCGCAGCCCCCGTTTCCACACACCTCATCCAATTCTGCTCCCCAGCTCCAGAACGGCCGAACGGCGGCCCAACGATCCACTAAAAGGTCCAAGATGTCCCCAAGAAGCCCCAAGAGGTCTCATAATCCCCCAGGAGACGCCCCAAGAAGTCTCCAGCGAGGCCCGAGGAAGCCAAACACAAAGAACCACTCGAACGTAGGTTGTGTTGCGTCCTGGGCTTTTCGGCTGCAGACAGCCTCGGGAAGTGTCTGAAAAGCCACAAGAATCCACCCAAACGGCCCAAGACAGCCAAAAGAGGGCCCAAGGGCTGACCCAAGACCTGCCCAGCCGCTCCCAAGATGGTTCAACCGAGCCTCTTAGGGAAAACCTGGTATAACCATGGCGCCTGAGATGTCTCCGAGACGACCCTTCGGGCCTCAAGACGGCCCCAAGTTGCTCCAAGGTAGCACCCCGGGAACCTCCAAGAAGTTTTCAAGAGGGAGGAGGAGGGAGGATACCGAGGAGGAAGTAGGAGGAGGAGGAAGAGGAGGAGGAGGAGGAGGAGGAGAAGGAGGAGGAGGAGGAGGACGAGCTCGCGGACAACGAGTGGGTGATTAAGACCCGCGCCAGTTCTGACAGGGCGCTGAACTGGAGCGGTTCTCAAGCTCAATCTCCTTCCTGTTGCGCTGCTGCGCTGGCACTGTGGCTGTGTTTGCCTCATGCAGCTGGATGTCCTCTGGGCTTGCTGCTGCTGACTAGTTGACTCTTTTCCTGGTACCTGTCACGAGCGGATGCGCAATGAACTTTTCTGCAACTCCACTGGTCGTCCGATCTGTATGGCGACCATTGAGTTGTTTCGGGGCTCGGTCGCACCTCGGAGTGTACTGTTTCCAGGTCGCAGTCATACTCGCCAGTCCTCCTTTTGGTTGGACCCTCGTTCTGAATAGAGCACTTGCTTGCTGCTCCGTTTCTTCCTGCGCCTCCTTCTCGTCTTTGTTCTCCTCCTTACTCTTCTCCCTACCTCCTCATATCTCTCCTTTTTTTCTCGCTTCCCCTTTTCTCTTCCCCTCTCTTTGCGTCGCCTGGTCTCACCTGCTGCCCAACATGATCTGTCGCCAATGCGCGTGACACGCAGATCCAAGCTTTTGCGCTCGGTGCCAATGGTGCTGTCACACGCGCAACAGTCGCCACTTTCCTGCGCCATTGGGGGTCCAGCCGAGAGGCGGTCCTGCGCGAACCCAAACTATTACTCTCAGCCCCATGGAATGCTGCCACACGCACAACAATCGCCACTTTCCCGTGCCCCTTGGGGGTCCAACGGAGGGAGTGGTAGCCCTACGTAAATTAAGGCTCTCACTCTTGGCCCATGGGTGCTGCCACACGCGCAGCTGCTATCACTTTGCTGCGCCCAGTGGGGATCCAATGCAATGGCGGTCCTTGGCGAATCCATGCTAGTAGTCTCAACCCCATGGTTGCTACCACACGCGCATTCGTCATTACTTTACTGCGCCCCAATAAGGTCCAGCGGGGTGCCGTTCCACGCGCACACCGAAAAACCTCGCCTCACTCTGTGCTGCCACACGTACGCCTGTCGCCCATTTCCCGCGACCCTGGGGTGCCCAGCGCAATGCCATTCCACGGATACCCAATTTCAGCCCTCGCCTGCCTGGGCAGACCCAGGCGTGCGAATGCCGCCACTGTCCTGCGCCCATGGGCGGAGTGCTGCTGCTGCTGCTGCTGCTGCTGCTGCTGCCCCCATGTCGATCCAAACGGGACCTCGCCTCCCTGGGTGTGGCCAAGCGTGCAACTGCCGCCACTTTCCTGTAATGGCATTCAACACGGTAACGCCTTGCACGAGTGGGTTGAATACGTCCTTGTCTCGTGA